AGAAAGAAATCCTGGAGGGAGGCAGCTGTGGTCAGGCAGTGCCAGGCATTTCCCAGGCACCACTGGAATGCTGCAAAGAGCCAACCTGTAAAGGGCCCAGCAGAGGGATTCAAAGGCTTGCCCCTGCCAGCCCATCCTTTCCCAGATCTAGTCGTCTCCCAGCATGCCAACTCTGCAGCTGCTTCTGGCTATTCTGCACTTCCATCCTCCCAGAGCTCTTCAGCTGTGCTTGGGGATCCTTCCATAATAAGCCCATCTCCCCATAGAGTCCTCAAGTTACTCCACCCTGGCCCAGCTTGGCCCTGCATAGGCATGAAGAAACTCTTCTCGGTACAGTGAAGCACCACTCCCCTGGGCACTGTGGCCACCCCCTGGTACAACCCACCTGAAATGTATATTGCCATCCAGTTAAAGATGCCAAGTTGGGAGGCACCATTATTGGAGGTGGATGCAGAGCCAGGCTGGTGGATAATGGAGTGCCCTGCAGGGAAGGGAAGAAATGAGCATCCACCCAGAAGGAGAGACAACCATGTCTGAGGCCTGAGCCCCCCCTCCACCCTTCAATTGCCCAACTGGAGCCAGACTGCTGAGTTCTCTCTTCCTCTTATCTGAGAGATACTTGCTCCACCCCCAGCTATGGGGCACCCTTTGAAGGAAGTGGGGCAGTGCCTGTGGAATGGGCCTCCAGGGCAGAAGAAGTGATGCCTACCTGCAGAGTCATCCTCAGAGAAGTACCCTGAGGAGGATTCAGGGGTGTTACAGGTGTACAGGGCCAGATGAGGGGCTGGTGAGAGGCCTAGTGAGAAGCCTTTGACCCTACTGGACTTCCTCCTCAGAGTCCTGGGAGACAGCAAGCATGAAGAGCAAAGAGAAGAGGGTGAAAAAGAGGACAGGTGAGAAGGAAATGGAAGGGGCAAGGCCTGCAGGGGAATGAGACTTTGCTGGAGACTTCGAGGATGAAAAGAAATGATAGCCAAAGCTCTCTTTTGCTGTTCTTCTCCTTAAAGAGATGAATAATTTTTCATGTGGGAGGCAGAATTAAAGCAAGCCACAGCTACCATGGGCCGGGGGAGGGGGGCTCTTTCCACATGAAACCACCAGGATGAGGTATCAGGGGAGCCAAGAATCAGCTGAAAATGTTTCCTCACCCACAGCCCTTCACCCACCTGGCTTCACCCTAAGAAGCATGGGCCTTCGGGCCAGGGAGAAGAGATCTGTGGCTGAGAGGGGTTGTTCCCTGTCCAGCTTCAGGCCTCAGGGTTTCCAGCCTTCTCTATGCTCAAAGTTGCCCCTCCTCAGTTGCTGTTCTCAGAAAGAGAAGGCAGCAGCAGCCAAAGGGTGGGACCACAGGGGGAGAGGAAATTCTCTGGTTTGGGGGGAAAGCAAGCAGTAGAGTGAAGTGTCTATCAAAATTGGGGGCAGGAAAGAAGTGTGCACATGGCAGCAGCCAAGGCCCTTGGCTGCCCTGGGGAGTTGTGATGGAGAAGGCAGCTGAGTCTCCTCTGGCTCCTCTTACCTGAGGGGACCCTCCCTCCAGTTGGTGTGCTGCTCAGCCACCTGGGAATTCCCTCCAGTGCTGCTGCTGCTTCTGCTGCTGCTGCTGTTGCCTCCATCACCAAGTGCCTGGTAACGGAGGCGCAGGCGCTCACTGCGCCGAGACATCCTCAAAGCCTTTGACTTGAGTAATTCTGGAAATTCCCCAAAGAAGGAATGAGAAGCAGTGCTTACTGACTGAGTGACTTGATGCTATTTTCTGGGAGAGCCTGAGAAGGGACTGATGCGGGCGACTTTGAAAGGGAGGGACCAAATTCCCCAGACTCATTCCTCCAAAAGGGAAGATGGGCTGGCAGCTTCTCTCCTCAGGTGCTTCTGAAGCAGCTCCAAGGCACATTGATGATGGCTGCCTACCAGGGTCAAGCTCACCAACCTCATGGCCTGAGCTCAGCCCTGCCTCAGACTGGCCACTAAATCTACTCTCAAAAGGATCCTGCACTAGGCTTCCCTGCTGAAACAGAGGCCCAACTCTTTGCTGACTCTCTCCCTCACAGCATCTTTATCGAATCTGAGCTTGTAACACTGGACTTGTGATTGGGTTGCTTCACAAACACGACTTGTTCTTCTCCCCATAGACTGTAAGTTGGAGGGAAAGAACCACCTTCTCTTCCAAGTCTTTGGTTTCCCTCACCACCCAAAACCCTGTTCGGGTGGGTGGAAGGGGTCACATGTACTGGTCCAAGCTAACCAGCTGATCCTAACCCTGACTCTTGGGCAATAGGCTTCATGAGAAACAGCCCTGGCCCTCTATAGACTTTTTCTTCATTTCACCATCACAGCTCTTGAGGAATATTATACTCATGCTACAAAAAGTCAAGGTTGACAAGTGGTCCCCCCCTCCAAGGCAGGCCCTAGGCCTTCCCATCTGCTTGCTCAGGAAGTCCAACCTGAATGTTTCCTCAGGGATTTCTAAATTGTCAAGCCCTGTACAAGTCCATACTGGAGTTTTGTTTTTGTTTTTGGTTTTGTTTTTTTGTTTTTTTGTTTTTTTGGCGGGCAGGGGGAGGGAGATGAAATGGGGTGGAAAAGCAGGCTTGGCATTGGGAGATTCAATTCAGTCATGGACACTCCTGTACCTGGAGAACTAGGTGGGGACGGTAGGGGATGGAGCAGAGGCACATGTGCCTTGGCACAGAGGCTGTGCAGACAAAAGAAGGGGCAGCCACTGTGTCCTGCCACAGAGGAGGGAACCGTGTCCTCACCTAGGGCTCCAGACACTCCAATTGCCCACACCTCCTCTGCCTCCCGGTCCTGGCATGGCCAGACCAGCCCCCGTAGCTGCGGAGACTGCTTCCTCC